GGTTGTGGATCTAAGCAATTCTCTCTCTCCTAACTGTTCTACTAATTTCATCATTCCCTGGGCTTCTTCCACCTTTCCTTCAGATCCTAATCCTTCAATCTGCTGCAGGAGTACATCGATTTTGTCTGTTAGAACTTGAATTTTTCTTCATTTTTGCCTGTGGGGCCAGCTGCTCCAGAGGACTGCTGGTTCTGAGATAATGCCAAAACAAGTATGACCTCGTATGATTCTACATTCTGCTTTTGCAAGTAAACTCTGGAAGTATCGTAAAAAATCTCTCTCATAGCCAACTTTCATGAAACGAGAACTCTTCTCATTCTGTTTTCGTAGGTTTTCATCATGAATTTTCTCACATGGACCAAGATCAGAACGAGTATTTGTGAAAATACTCGTTTTGTCCGCAGGCCAAAAACCAGAGAGATAATATTTACAAATGCTCTCGTGGTCCCACCGCCGGTTGCTGCGCTTCCCGACCCAGGCGAGGTTTCAGTCCCGCCCATTAACTCATCCAACAATTGCGCAGCCAAAATCATGGTGCTTTCTTCGGGCGGCTGTTCCCGCCAGCCCTGGCACCCGCCAAAGAAAACGCTGGCCACACGGTCGCCAACCTCCACGGCCCACTTCCAGGTCAAAAAGCCTCCTTCACAGAAGAGCCGACAAGACAAAAGCCGGGGTGTGTGTGTGTGTGTGTGTGTGTGTGTGTGTTAATTTCTCACTTTCCCTCTCTCTCTGTCTCTCCAGCAAATGCACACACCCTATAGCAAAAAATCTCTTAAAAAAAAAAAAAGATATCATTATATTGAGTCCATAAGTGTGATTTTCTTTGAATATATTCTTCTTAGAGGTTGACAATATTTCTCTAATATGTAGGTTGGTGTTTTGAAACTTTTCCTGAGAAATAATTTTTAAGATACTGTTTCTAACCCATTTCTCCCTCTTCTACTGGAATTCAAAATTGTATATAGGACATACCATTGACCAGATCCCAAATATGTTTTATGTTTTTTCCTATTGTTTACTTCTCTCTGTCCTTTAGTTTCAACATTTTCTATTAATTTGCCTTCTAGTTCATTTATACCATCTTCTACTAAATCAAATATGTCTGCAAAGCCATTCATTGAGTTCTTAGTGTCAGATACAGTTTTTGTTAGTTCTACAAAATTTAGCTGATTCCCCCTACCACACATACAAATCTATTCTCTAAGGTAATTCTCTACATTCTTACCTCTTTTACTTCTCTTTTCCCTATGTTCCTAAATGCAATATTCATAAAGTTCCTGTCTGTTAACTCCAATATTTGGATTATCTCTTTTTCTGCTTCCTGTTGTCTGTTTTCTCTTGGCTGTTAATCAAATACTCCTGTCTCTGTACATTTAGTTGCTTTTTACCAATGCTGATTCATAAAAGTTTCTGATAGTGAAAAGCTTAAGTCTTTGCTCTGCTGGGTTAGAGCAGCAGGTAAGTTACATTAATCCAATAGGGAACACAGAGAGGTAGAAACTTTTGTGGGTTTGGGAAAACCTGGTTTACTTCTGATTTGCCTCTAATCGTAAGACCTGACTCACCACAACTTTCAATTGACAGTATAATTGGTCTTTATTCAGCATTAAACAAGAGCTTCACTTTTCAGATACTCTCTGTTTACCTTCCACCATACCCAGCTTTAGAAATTGGGCAAATATCTTGAATGAGAGACCAAGTGTGTGTTTAAGACCCTTCAATTTTTGGGGGGGGATTTTTTAATTTAAATTTATTTATGTACATTCATTCAGTATACATCATTAGAGCAAAAAAATGAGATTTTCAATCAAGAATACACTGTATATTGGCTCAATCAAGTACATCAACATATGTGTTATCATCAAAAAATAATTTTCCATTTCTTGTTTCCTGTATATTTTGCCTTTTTTCCATCCTTGAATTTTAACCCCACAAAACATAGGTTTTATATACCTAGATTCTCAACTTGTAGTTAATACCCAATTGATAGTGGTGCCAAGTAAAAGGCAGCTACAGGTTATCAGTGTCAACTTAACACTAATTCTGGGATTTTAACTCTTACTACATTCTTTCCTTTTTTTAAAGAATTATTTGTTTTTAATTTTATTTTTTATTATTATTATTCAATTTGACCAGAGAATGAGAGAGAGAGAGAACTCAAGAAAGCAAGCTGCCAGGTCCAGGACTTACCTATGGCTGGCCATGTAGGAGTTTAGTGCCTTTACCACCACACCACCTGCCAGCCCCTCTTAAGCCTCTCCACTCTCTCTCACACACACACCCAGGTCCCCTGGTAGATCTCTGTCTCATTAGCACCTCAAACACAAGAATTTCTATCCTGCTCTTCCACCATTTCCAGTTTAATTAGCTCTTCAATATTAGGTTCAGAATTAAGTGGGAAAACTGACTGCCTTTTATAAGGCCCAGTGAAGTCTCTAATTTTGTAACTCCCCTGAACACTACTTAAAAATTCTACTTTCTCTGTCTCTATATAATTTTTTAAATTATTTCTGGCTTATAATTTCCAAACCTCAGGGTTTTCAAAGTTCTAGCCAAATGTTTTTAAGGTTTTTTTTAAAGTTTTTTTTAAAAAAAGTTTTCAAGGTTTAAACAAAAAGTAAAAATTCCTCAACTGTCCCAGAGTCATTTTCTGTGTACACCTAAGTATGAGTTCAACAAATCATTTTAACTTTAGACAGTCCCAAAGATGCATATTGGTGTTGAGTTTAACATGTAGCAAATAAGGCTGAAGGATCTAATTTTGTCCTAAAACTAAACAATTGATAAAACAAAGCTAAGTGAAAGAGATTATAAACAAATTTCAACTACTTATAGGATTAATAAGGATGAAGAAGAAAAGTTAAACTCTAGTTATCAAAAAAGAAAAAAAGCTAAACACTTTATTCTTATTTTGAATATGAACAGTTGGCAAAAGGGCCCACTTCTTTAAAATTATCTCTAAGTCCTGGGGGGAAAAACTATGTATCAAAATTTTTCTCTTTTGATACATGAAATGAAAACATGATCAGCAACGAAGAGAGTCACAAACAGACCCAAATAATCAAGAAATGGCAAGCAGGCTTTCACTGTCGCAACTGGAAAGTCTGAAAAATAACGTGATGAAAGCATCCAGCTCAGAACTAAAATAATAATGGTAACGAGTCAGAGGTCTGATGCATCACTTTTTCAATCAGTAGCAGGCTCTATCTCCTCTTTCATCTTTCCAAGCAAAACAGCCCTGAAGAAGAAACTGGATCTACATTCCAGAATCATAGTAAGATGCAATCAAACTAATAGGTTTATTATTTAAGAATTATTTATTTTTAATTTTATTTATTATTATTATTATTTTAATTTGCTATACAGAGCACATGGACTCACCAGAGAAAGAGAAAGAGAAAGTGAGAGCAAGCATCAGGTCCAGGATTCAAACCATGCTCAACCATGTGGAAGTCTAGCACCTTAACCACCATGCCCCCAAACTATAGATTTAATAAAGGGAGGCAAAAGAAAACTGATGTAGATATAAACATAACAATGTCTCCTATTCCTCTCCCCGTCATTATTCTGGTTTTGTGGTTACCAACTTGAGTTGTTATTTTATTTGTGTTACACCATAAACTGCTGCAATTTCTTTTTGAATGTAGAAGGTATGAAAATATGTAAGCAAAGTTCTAAAAGCACTTGCCCTGATCATCTAACAGTACCCTCACTACGCCATGATCAAACAGCATATCACTATGCAGAAGCACCATCTATACTAAAACCCAAGATAAGTGAGAGAGACATGCTGTAAATAAGAATCCAGTTCCGGCTTACCCACGATTCAAGATGCTTGGCTATTTGAAAGAAAACTCAGTGTGTGAGTTTATTTGAAAATGTCTGCAAAAAGTATTCAATTATTTTCATGCAGTTATGAATAACTTAATGTAAAATACTGCTCATCTACAAATATAAGATACAAAAATAGGATATTGTTGAAACTATCTGTAGCCATGTTAAGGGTTTGGATGATGTAAGTGAGACGGCAGAAGCATTTGTTACAACAAACTTTAAATGTGCTAAATTATAAAATAATCTTCATCTAAAAATACACTCTGGTTCACTTTTACCATAGTAGTATTTACAGATTATTTACATATAATAAACCAAAAAAACAGCCTATATAAGCTATGAGAATGCCAAAGCTGTAAAAAATAGCAAATGTAAAATACTTAAATCCTAGAACTTATATGCCATAGCAGTAAACCAAGAAAAACAACATATGTAATTGTGACCTATGTTTTAACAGATAAAATCATTACAAAAAAACCCTTAATCTTTCTTATGTACCCATATGGGAATAGATGCTTTAGAAATTATCTAGACATTAATATGAAAGACATCAGTTATAAATAAATAAATGTGAACTAAACTATATTCTTTATAACTAAATCTTATTAATAGTAAAAATAAGATCAGTTCAAAAACCAAAAGTTAACTTAAAAAAAACTAAATCAGAGCAGCCAGAATCCCACACACAACATTCAAACTGTGATCCACAGTACTGAGGTAATACCATAAAGAAAGTTATTTTTAAAAAAAAATCTATCTCCATCACTTTTGGAAAGAAGAAAATTGAAAATTCAGGCAAACCATTTACCTAAGTAAATTAAACTGAGCTTACTGAACCATAACCAATTGGAAGTTGAAAACACAGGGGACTTTAATATCCCGGACATACTCCCTTATCAGCACTACTCTATTACTCATGCAACTCAATTCCAGATGGTTGCAGGAATTTAGACATCGAGACCCAAGGGAAGGAAAAGCAACTCTACGGTGATATTTTCTTTAGGCATGAAGCTGATTATATAGTACCCATTCCTGTTGTGCTACAAATTTTATAATTTTAAATCAGTTGAAGATGACTCGTACAACTCACAATTTCAAAACAACTATTTGCAAGTATCTAACAAATTTGGTTCAAGGAAATTACATTTTATAAACTTATTTCATACCTTGCAAACTGTATCCACGTCCCAAGGTAAAATAGTCCTTAGATCAATGACTTCACAAGACACTCCAAGCTTTTCTCGTGCCATGGAAGCTACCTCACGAATCACATGAACCTGAAATGAGGAGAAAAATATACACAGGGTTAACTACAAAGACTTAGGTCTGAAAAGCTAGTTGAATTACAGAGAGTGTTTAAAAGCCAGAGGACCAGATCTGCATAGAGAATTCATAAATTGGTTTTATACATGTTGGGTCCTATATTCTGCCAAAATAATCAAGTATAAATGCCTAAAAACAATAGGAAATAGATTCTCAGATAAATGAATTCAGTGCTAGAGATACCAATTAGTCATAGAAGGTATCATGGAAGTAGGTAGAGTTTCTAGGAAAAACATACAAAGGGAGAAGTAAAGGGCAAAAATCATGGAACCCTGTACATCACCAACATTTACAGAGAAAATGGAAGAAGAGAACCTCACTTGAAAAAAAGAAAGAAAACTGGGTAGTACATTCCAGAAGCTAAAGAAAAAATTAGTGGGAACAACTCATCAGGTGCACATGAGAAAGGGAATTAAATATAGAACATGGGGCGTCAGCAAGTGGCAGGGTGGTTAGAAGTGCTGGACTCCCACATGGCCAACCACGGTTCAAGTCTCGGACCTGGTGGCTTGCTTTCTCACTTCCTCTCTCTCTCTCTCTCTCTGTCTCTCTCTGATCAAGCTGGAAAATAATAATGACAATAATAATAAATAAAGTTAAATAAAATAATTCTTTTAAAAAATATATAGAACATGAATAACGGCCTTTCAAGGTTAGTGATAAAAGAAAGGAAGGAGATATAATAATGGCATTTAAGAAGAAAGGTTTTCCTATGATAGCAAAGAGATACACACACACCTTTTCAATCAAAGAAGCACAGAAAGGAAAAACTGAAGAGGCAGGAGAGAGAGGAATTACCTACCAGATCACAGTACTGAAGAAGGAAAAATGAGATGCAATCTGAAACAGATTTGGAGAGGTAGCTACGAAAACCTCACACTTCTTCGAAAACAAACGAAGAAAAGGATTAGCAGAAGTGGTAGGTATAAAGAGCAGTTATGCTACTCTACTTGGTATCCAGTATATTTTGACTTCCTGTTAAAAACAGAAGCTGGGCCAGTGGTGGCCTGGTGTTTAGGGCAGCTGGATCCCACATGGCTTACAGTGAGGTTCAAGTCCTGAACCTGGCAGCTGGAAAAACACACCAGGCACATGTGTGTGCATGCCCCAAATATCAAGACAAGAATGGAGGAGAAGGGAATTCAGTGTGGCCATCCCCCCTGGAGGGTGGGAGGGTACTTTCACACTTTCCATCTCTCTTTCTCTGTCTCCAGAGAGTGCAAGTGCCCTATAGCAAACAGATGTGACTAGCCAACTAACAGAGTTACCCCATTGTAGGTGAGGAACTGTGAAGACCACAGCTCTCCAAGCAAAATTCAAATGGAGAGGAAAGTAAGAATTTACAATATTACAAATGATTTTTGCTATCTTCTTTATACTATGGTGTCTTGTATTTCCTAAAATAAACTAGTACTTTCTTTCTTTATATATATATATAAACAAAAAAGACTACCAACCTCTTTAAAAGGAAAGATTTCTGTGTGAGAGAAAGAAGTCTATGGCCAGACTCATAAACAGATGAATTGATTGAAAAAATGTGGCACATATACTCTATGAAATACTATTTAGCCATTAAAAAAAAAAAAAGGCAAAAAAAACAAGACCCTGGCATTTGATAGAAAATGGTTGAATATGGAACATTTATTGCTAACTAAAGCAAGTCAGGCTATGAAAGAAAGATGTCTCCATTTAATATATACCAACTATCTACACTCTATGGTAGAGACAGATTGGAGGATATAAAAGCACTGAAAATAGTTATGGATACTGGAGACAATGTGGAAGGAGGGTGGGAGAGGAAAAGAGAATAGGAAAGGAAATTAGGGGGGGGGAAATAGAGAGGCAAGACATCTGTGGGACACACTAATATTACCTGTTGATGAATCAAGTATAGTATTCTCAATTGTACTGGTCTGAGGTGTACTTAAGGTTGGATAAATTCTCTTCACAAGCCAAATGATGTATAGCAATCAAATGTATAAAATAATAATAATAAAATAAAAATTTATATTAAAAAAATCTATGGCTAGAAAAAAGAAAAAAAATTGTCCTACACTCAGAATTTTGGAAGTAAAACAATGTGACAACAAGCTATGGAGAAGACAGAGCTGCATCAGGGTCACCAGAAAGAGAAAGGTAAGAAACACGAAGGCTTGGACTGGTAGATCTACCTGGCCAACACAGTTATTACAAAAGATGGCAGAAAATGGATGAAAAACATCTTAAGTCCAGTACAGCAACAAACAATGATTATATGTAATATGTGCACCAAAAGAAAAGTCATTTTTAATAAATACAACTCTTTAATATGAATATGTGTTCAATTCAACACATTTTAATCACTTAAGCAATGCTTTATATATCTTATTATGACTAAATAATATGACTTGTTATATTTTATTATGACTAAATAGGCACTTCACCTTCACTTCGAAATCAGTACCATAAGCTTCCAGTCGTTAGTAGGGACAGTTAAGGAAATCTGCCATACAGCATGGTGAATACAGAAAATAATATTGTATTGCTTATTTGAAATTTGCTAAGAGAGATCTAAAGTGTCCTCATTCTCCCCTTCTCCCCAAAATATACAAAAATAAGCAATGATAACTATATGGAAATTAATATTAATTAATTTTATTGTGGTAATCATTTTATAATATATATGTGTATCAAATCATCATGCTGTATGCCTTGAATATGTATATTTTTATGTATCAATTATACTCCAAAAAAGTTGGGGCAGGATCAGCATTGGTAGCACCAAATAAACTTAACTTGAGATATGAAGAAAATATCATTTCGATACTTCATTTATCAAGGTCAAAAATGAGATTAAAATGAGTGTTTTCAAGCACAAACGGCTTTCACAGAAAGATCAATGATGCTGACCTGGGTACCCCAGGCCACAAGGGTAACATCACTCCCTTCCTGTATGACTTCAGCCTGGGACAGTGGAATGTTGTACGGTTCTATAGGAACCTGCTCCACTAAAAACATAACAGAGAAAAAATAAAGTTATTATTTATTCCATGCAACAATGACACATAAAAAATACAAGAACCTCATTTGCCAATACTACTCTTTCTCCAAATTCTGTAAGGTATTTAAAACAAAAATACATTTTTTTGTATGCCTCCATGACATTACTTTATAGATGAACAAGTGTAATATAAATATAGCAACTCTCCTATAACATAAAAATGACTTTAGTTAAAAACTAAAGAAATCTTAATAAAATATGGGCTCTAGTCAATGAAAGTGTATCAATATTGATTTATTAACTGAAACAATTATACTATATTCATATTGATGTTAATAATAGGAGAAAGTGGGGTGTGAAAATTCTTTGTACTATCTTCATACCTTTTTTTTTAATTTAAATTTATTTATTTACATTCATTCAATGTACATCATTATAGCATAAAAAATGACATTTTTCATCCAGAGTACACTGTATATTGGCTCAATCAAGCACATCAATATACATGTTATCATCAACAAATAATTTTCCATTTCTTGTTTCCTGTATGTTTTGCCTTCCCCCCCATCCTTGATTCCCTATCTCTTACACTCTGCCATCTCCCACTCTCCTCCCACATTGTCTCTGGTATCTATATTTACTTTCTATATTTTCTTCCCCCCCACACACATTTTATTAAGTCACTAAAGATCTTAATTATTCTAAATATCTTCATAGATAAATACATTTCCATGAACACAAGTCCAACTTTAGGAATAAGCCTCAGTGAGTAGAATGAACATCCTATAAAGTAGCACCTAGCTAGGGCTATGTATCTTACTACAGTCATCAAATAGGTATTTTTAATGCATTTTTTTTATTTCAAGAAAAAGTTTTAGATATTTTTATTTTCTGAATCTTTTCTTTTTTCTTTAACTTAATTTACATTCATTCCCTAAGCATCGTCACAGTATACAAAATGTGATTTCCCATCCAGAGTATACTGCCGTGGCTTAATCATGCATGTTATTATTAAAAATTTTCCATTTCTAGTTTTAGGATTTTTTTTACCCCTATTTCTGACCCTCTGTCCTTTCTGTCCCTCTTCTCACACTATCTCTGGTGTCTACAATTGTCTTCCATTCCTTTCCCCCCACATTGTATTGATCACACAATTTCTTAAATAATCTAACTACTTTCAATAGCAAGTTCACTTGGTACTATTAAGAAAACCAGTTTTAACTTAAATCAAAGAAATGCTAAGGAACTTTGCTTAAAACTTAAAGCCAGGAAACAGGTTAGGATTCTCTTCAAATGGTAGGTACATGAACCTATCCATATCTCAAGACAGGACACAAATACACAAATCCTTACAGCCAGATAACAAAGTCTACAGGAAAATCAGCAATGTTTTAGTCAAAAGTCATAAAATTATACTCCACCAATTTAGTCTCATGTACTTTATTTTCTGTTGTGGTTCGATTTTCCCGATTAAATTCTGGGATATAATATTCAACTCCAGACTTGTCCTTATCATTAAAATGGCCATTTTCTTAGTTTTTGAACTCTATTTAATTTTCCTGATATTGTACTTTTTACATAAAGTAAAATTGTTCTTTAAAAAGTTTTTAAAATTATTAATATATCTGCTAAAATATTATTGGACTTAATTGGACCAGCAAATTTCTGGGAGTTTGAAAAACACATAAGAAGCATATAGCAGGATCAAATTTTTTTAATGTATTTTATTTTTGTACCTCACATCTATGAACACTTTGCTAACCACAGCAGGTGATGACACCTTAATATTGAAAGCTGAATATTGTAGATCTCAAAAGATAAACTGGAGTTAACCAACTGGGTTCCTCCCTGTGCAGAGGCCTGGAAACTATCTCCCACAAGACAGACAGCTCCATGGCTCCTGTGATCTAGCCATTTGGGGAGAAAGGAAGAAAAGCCCCTGAAATAGTTTCTATTTCAAGAAATACAAAAGAAAACTATTTCTGCCTAATCAAGTATAATCAAATTCTATGCAACATAAAACTGACTAAATCTGACAGAAAATTAAACAGAATTTTTATTTTTATTTTTTTTCTGGTTTTGTTTTTTTTTTTTTTTTTTTTTTTTTGCCCTTGGGTCATTCACCAGAGACAGATGGACAGAAGAAGCAAAGTAGGAAATCCTTCCCCACCCCACAGGGAGTACCACACCACAATCTCTTCTTCTCCATTCTCCTCTTGGGATTTTGGGCACACACGCACACACACCCAGCATGAGTTTCAAGCCACTAGGTTCAGGACTTAAATTACAGTTGGCCATGTGGGAGTCCAACACCTTAACCACCATGCCACCTGCTGACTCCTACACTTTAATGAAATTGAGTTTGAAATTTATAAAACCACCCAGTGAGGCTGGGAAGCCTTCTTGAGTGTAACAGTAGCAATGCTGGGAATAACTGTTGTTCCCTTTGGCTCATTTTCCCCATGTCTTTTTATTATACACATTTCTTTTTTAATTTAAAGAGCACAGAAAAGTAAAATGAAGCTCTTCCAGCTCCACTTTCAAGAGTAATCAACAGGAACCATTTCCTGGAAGTCTACAGTAGACAGCTCTCATTCTTTCTGGTGTCTACATTTCTAAATCCTTTTCCTACATCTGGTAAGTCCCCCACCTTATGAAGCATAACAGGGCTGAGGACCTCATACACACTTTCCCAGTGTCCCTTACAGATAGGAAATAAAACTTGGGCTCTGCCCATCAAATATTCCCACGGCAGACTCTGAATCGGAGCTGATGAGACAAAAATGCAGCAACTGTCCAGCATCCATTCCAGAGTACTGGTAACAGTGCATCCAGGCTTAGTAGTAGTAGCAGCAACGATGCAGAGTGCATTTCTGTGCCCACTCACAGCTGCTGGAACATCTTTGCAAAACCAGTTACATTGGGTATTGCTTCTATACATATAGTGTCTAAGCCTAGTTCTCAGGCACTCCATAGATCTGTGAGCTATTTATTATCCTTCAATGAATATTTTTTATCATAATGAACAGCATTTAGTTGAACTGATTAACAACTAAGAATTCATTGATTCAGGATCTTTTCAGATACTTTTAGTATGAGAATATAATATGCACAAACATCTCTTTTCTCACAAATAAAATCACACTGTACAGTTTTAGGACCCTTCTATAATCTATATTTTTTAAAGAATTATTTTATTTAACTATTTATTTTTTTGTTTAAATTTGACCAGAATGAGAATGAGAGCGAGAGAAAGAGAGGAAAAGGGAGTAAGCAAGCTGCCAGGTCTGAGACTTGAACCATGGCTGGCCACATGGGAGTCCAGTGCTCTTAAGCACCACACCACCTGTTGGCCCCAACGATCTTTATTTTTTTAGCTTAGTACTATATCTTGACCATGTTTCCATGCTAAAATATAGTTTTCCAATCATACTTTTAAGTAAAAACTGTTATATCTACTGGTGCTGTTGTGAGTGAGGTAGTGAGAAATTATATTTCTTGCTTTTAGTGTATTCCTAATCCAATGACAGTTCTATAACTAGTCCCAGAGAATTAAGTATTCTTTAAGTGATTAATAAGTTTAAATCTATTTAAAAATAAAAGAAAATGGTAAAACCTATACAATTACTTTTATGGGTAATACTTTTGCAGGTAAATTTTAAAGCAGACAATAATTAGGCTAAGAAACTTGAGATACAAAGCAGTATTAGAAAACTTGTAAGCATTAATGCATTTTTTTCAAAAAAGCTTTTGTGTAACACACCAACTATGTTGAATAGGATATTTCCTCTATCCTAACCAGGGGTGAACAAACTATAATTTGTAAGTCAATTTTTGGTAAATGGCATTTTATTGCATCATATCCACACCATTCCTTTACACACAGTCTATGACTGTTTTCATTCTACAGTAGCAGAGCTGAGTAATTGCGACAGAGACAGTGTGACCAGTAAACCTAAAATATTTACTATTCGTTCCTTTGCAGAAAAAGATTTCCAGTCCCAATTGTAAACAGTGCTTTCAGAAATTAATTCTAGTCTACCCACTGATGGTTTAAACCTAATACTGGATGGATACATGGACAGATGGGCAGATGAATAAATGAACAGACAAGGATTCAGACACACTCAATTGGAATAGTATATTCTGTTCAGCAATTGCAATTGCTAAACCAAAATGAGAGTTAAGAACACTGATGACATCTGGCAAACATACCAAAGGTATCACATAGGTTCTTTGCCATTATCAAGCCCTCTTTTCCCTACCAGCAAGATCCGCATGCCAGTCGGAAAGCCTCGAAGCTAGTACACACTCTATGTTGCTTGTGAATCAATGGCGGCCTTTCAAGAGTCTAGTCGTTCCTGCCTTGTAAATCAGTTGCCAGCTGGTGACCAGCAAATCCCTGGAACACACAACTGTAAAAGCTGGCACACCAAAAGAAATGTGTTGGCATCTTGGCCCACCTCCTTAAAAAGCAAGTGACTAACTGCTTTGTTGTCTTAAATAAATTACTCAAAATTATAAGGCATCATTATTTTAACAATTCATTTAAGGACAACACAATAAACAAACTTTTATTATTCAATAGAATCATGCAGAAAATAACATTCAGGAAGACTGTTGTATTAAGAACAACCAAGCCTTGGGAACCAGCAGTTAGTGTACTGGCTACGTCGCTGGACTCCCACGTACTCGACTGTGGTTCGCGTCCTGGACCCGGTGGCTTAAAACTCACGCCAGACGCGTGTGTGTGCGTGCCCAAGATCCCGAGAGGAGAATGGAGGAGAGGGGACTGCGGCATGACCATCCCCCTGGGGGGTGATTTCTCGCTTTCTGTCTCTAACGTCTCTCTCTGTCTGTCTGACGAGCGCACACGCCCTATAGCAAAAAATCTCTCCCAAAAAAAAGAACAACCAAGCCTTTTAGCCAGAACCACCACCTTCCAGTAATTATCCAAATGACTTAACATGAAGGGAAAGACACCTGATATATGTTCTCTAGGCCTTT